CAACTGTCCGTGGTCTATAAAAACATCGGAGATTCATGAGCACCTCAAAATGTCTGTCAAAGAGGAGATCAAGACCTGCAGTATGAAATACAGAAAAAGACTAGAAATGCATTCTTATAAGCTTGCCACGCAACTAACCATACCAGACCTAATAAAAGGCGACAAATCCTAAGTCTTGATAGACACGGTTGAAAGAGAGGAACAGTTTCGTTGGAGATTTTCTCACACTCTCAACACATCTGCTGACTGATTGCAAGATAAATACTTATAAGAAAAAAACTATTTCTAAATCAGTAAAATTTTAAAGAACTTTTAACACTTTAATGAAACTTGTAAGTATTAAATACTGAAACTTCACAGTTGTTCAGTTCAGAACAAAAACCGATTTGTAAAGAAATTTAATTTATAATTTCTATAAGAATAAATAAAATATCTCAACAATTGTTAACATTTGGATTTTTGCCTAATAAAACATGCTTTTAAGTTTATGTAAAAAAAGAAATCAATGGCTAAAATCGTATACACTTTCCTCGCACAGCGTATCGGTGTGGCCATTTAGAAAATCTTCCAGTCCAAAATGACTAGTTTTAAAATTATTCACATATATAATCTAAGATATTTGCTTACATTCTGAGTATGACTTGATACAAGTAAATCAATTTATTAAATATGTTTTATTTAGAGTGTTCTTTTAAGCATTGTTAAGCATCTACCTAACAACGCTTATTATTTCAAAAATTATTCAGCTAATTAATTAATTATTTTTAAGTACTTTCAATTTTTTTCCATATAAAGTTAATTAATGTTTTATCCTGTAGAACATTGATATATATTTGACTTGATATACATAAATAAAATGAATTATTCATCAATTTAAAATCTAGGATATTTGTGTTTAGTAACATATATAATAGCTAACAATGATCCAAAAAATACTGTAAACGTTAAGTTAGTAATGAAATAAATTCATTAAATTTCGCTATGATAAAATATTAAAGGTTGACGAACCCTGGTAAGCCTGGTGGGTCTACTAGCAAACACGCAAGCCGTTCTGCAGCTACTCAGTTAAAAGCGACGCGGCTATACTTCACACGACTTATTGAAATCCTTTGAAATAAAAAAAAGTTTTTTAGTTTTTTGAAATAAATTATTGTGAGTGTTCTATTGTGGATTTTCCATCATGATCGATTGGTGAGAATTTAATTCACATTTAAATTATCTTATTCTATAAAATGAACACCGCGCTAGTTTAATGATGGTTTGTTTCTTATGATCACTGTTCTTCATACATCATACAAGTGACAATAAACATTTTTAATTGATTATTTCTGACGCTGAATTTATTCAAATAATATTATTATAATATAAAAACTAACTTGTTATCGTAACATTCTTTTCTCGGAGTCCAAAGTGATAAGCTCGATTCCTGTTTCATATATTATATATTAGACATATAAATTATACATTTCCAATGGTTAATTAAAACAAATTCTAAATGATTTCACATGTTTCTTTTTTAATAATAATATAAAGTGCTTAGCGCAATTCGTTAAAGTTAAATCTTTTCGTGTCGCTGTCAATCACGTGACATGTCAGATTCCTGAATCCAAGTTCGAAATCCAAATATGACTAAGCAAACAAAGAATAAAACCGTTGCATTTTGGTAAAATCATTTAATTTAACATTTGATCACAGTTGTCCATATTTAAGATTCTGGTTAAATGAAATTATGGCTTATAATTATCATTTTATTCGGGCTTGGCAATAAGCTTAATTTCCTCCATCCAGTGTTCACTGACCATCCGGAACGATGTAGAGTGGACCATTTATGACGTTAATCCACGATCTTCCTCGTTCAATAGGACATAACCATTTGTTTCACTTAACCTTCGCGTGATAACACTGTCCGACTTAAGAGAGTCCTATTTCCTAATAACTTGTCAATTTATACAGTCATTGTCGTCTATGACTAGTGACTGGGTTATTAGAAACTACATTAAAAGCTTTTAAATATCTTATTAAACTAGTCTAAGCTCTATAGATTAATTCTGTTAATGAAGTAAAAATTATTACACAAAAATTAATTTTAACATAGCGAATTATTCCTGCTTTACTCTTTTTGAATATAAAAGTGTAATAATACATTATTATAATGATTCTCTAGAAACTGTTAGATTAGGTAGGCTGCATTTAGCCAGTGGGACAAAAGCTTTGAGTTTATCGTTTCTGGGAACATTTCAACTGTTTTTCTATACTAAATCAATCGCTTTTTAAAGGTATTATCAATTTAATTATATATTACATAACGCGGCCAAAGATTTTCAGCCCCTGTTCGTGGAAATCTCACTCGCAACATAAGACTCGTGTTACAAGGATTCACTCTAATTGAATCTCTGAGGAAACTTGGCGATCTCTCGAGACTCGAGAAAACTCATAATGTAAAATAATTAAGTTAATCTTATATTAAAATTAAGAGAACAAAACTGGTATAAGGATCACCTGTTTAGTTTTTTATATTTTAATATTTGGAGTGCAAGGAAAAATAATGCTTCAAAAAGTATTAAAACGCAAAATTTATACGCATAAACCCAAGGCTAAGGACACAATGTTATAAGATGGTTAAGAAATTTTCATTATAGTGTCAACATGTAGTAAATATTTGGTTTGCCATCTGTTTATTACGATATGCTAATTTTCAATTCAAATGAATGTGATCATTTTCAGTTGCAGCTTTATTTAGCATAGATGACCAGTTCATACTTTGTGACGTGTTTAGATTCAAATCAAACTATAACAATGCAAACATTTACGTTCAATATTAAAGCAATAACCTTAAAGAAAATGCAATATGAACTGGATTGAAATTAATTATTTGGTATACATAAGTTAAAAATTCATGTTTAATTTTTCTTAGATGAACCATGAACTACCAAAAAGGGCCTAAACATTCGTCTAAAGTGTCAGATGGTTTACTATTTTAGAAACAAGAAGAAACACTTTGCATATTGATAGCATTTTGTTTGGGATATTAACAAAAATAAAATAAAATTTTCAAGTGAGTGAGAAATCTGATCTTTTCTACTTAATGTATTTTTTAGTAGCAACTAAAAGTTTTCAGTAGAGATTCTATATTATATTATTAACGGTTTGTTTTTTTTATTTATTCATTTAACACAATGTTATTTTCTAAATCATGGTACATAAAATTTGAAAAATACACGAGACACTTAAGTTTTAGTTACATATGGCCCCTTACTAACAATACATAGTAACAAAAGTAGGACATTCTTAACTCGATAGTATTGATTTTATTCATATTAAATATTCTTAGCCTTCAGTCACTTAACATTTACTTTTTCACTGAAATTTTTCATTACCTATTGTATGATTTGTATGACTTATTCTACACTATTATAATGATTGAATATATGTAATCAATACATTCAATAACTTGGAGGCTTTAGTATGTTTTTGCCAAAGTCCTTTTAAATATTTAGATATTGCCACTTTGTACCCTTAAAAACTTATTTATTGTCGTACCATATATTTTAACTATGTTTGTTACTGATTGTTAAAGTTACATATATATTGCACGTAAGAATCGCGTATCGAAAAGTTTATCGTGATCGATCAATACACTGTACTCTTATCTCATGACTTTATAATTCATAAAGGCATGTATAGAAGACTTAACAATAAAGACCATCTTCAATATAATCCGAAAAATTCCAGTGTGTAACTGTGTAGTTTATTGTTTTATTAACAGATTTTCTTTTTCCAGATATTGTGCGGCATTGTAATGTCCGCCATCAAGCGTCTCCCCACGGAAGATGATTAAATGCATATGGAAGACGGCATTCTTCTTTTTAGTATGGTCAGTAATGTTTTCCAAAATCTGAATTAAATTGTCATAATTAATCAATTTGTTATATAAACGTATATACCTATGTGTAAATTGCCAAGATAGAAAGCTAAATGCATTTGGTAAGGTTGGTTTTCAACTTAAAAACAACAATGAAAACCATTACACTTAATTCATGGTTAATTATAAGAAAACCTTCAACATATTAATGATACAATGATAATTAGGCTTATTAAGTATATTTCCTATACCTTTCATTTAATTGAGCTGATAAGCCTTCTGATAGATCGTTGTTTGTGATTACGATATGAAAGCATCCGAAGCAAAATAAAACCATTTGTGTACTTAAATTGCAATCAATCCTGGACAAATTAAAAAACCTTATAATATTTCTTATGTATGTGTATCATACATTAAATTATTTAATATTAGATCCTTACATATGAAATTGGTGTTTTATATGGGAGGAACAAAAAGTAGATTTTTTTACATTATAATATATTTAATTAATCAAAGTATGTTATCATTACTATCTATGCACTTTTGCCATCTTATAGGTAGTTTATAGGTAGTTTTGGACGGCAATCAATAAAGTCTTTGAAGGCGGTTTCGACTGCCCCATCAGAGTTGAATTTTTCACCTTGCAAGAAGTTATCCAAATTTCGAAATAAATGCTGAATAAATGCTGTTGGAGCAAGGCCCGGGGAGTACGCTGAATGTCTTAGCCATTCCAAATGAATCTCCTATAATTTGGTAGCAGTCTGTTGTGCAGTGTGTGGTCTATCGTTGTCGTGAAGCATCAGTGGCTTAAAGCGATTGACCAACCTTGGTTGTTTAGCTTCTAGCTTTTCTATCATGGTTTGCAGTTGCTGACAATAGACATCTGCTGTAATCGTCTGGCCAGATTTAAGAAAGTTATAGTGAACGACCCTAGGACTAGTCGACCAAATGCTCACAAGTATCTTTTTCGGAATCAATTTTCGCTTGGGGCACAATTTGGCTGGTTCGACTGGGTTCAGCTATTGCAATGAGCGCATTCGATTATCGTACAGGATCCACTTTTCATCATATTGTGCCGGTTGAGTAATGTAACGCAGCAGTCGACGCGCGTTTGTCGATTTGCTTCACTCAATTCGTTTCACCTTTCAAGCTTTTTCACCTTCCCAATTTGCTTCAAGTGGATTATTACAGTTTTATCACTAACACCGCAGCCTGCAGCTAACTCAGACGTAGTTTGCGATGGACGATAGCCTTCAATTCTTCGTTATCATCGTTTGGTCTCCGGCCGTCCACGGGGCTTGTTCTGCTGGTCGTAATTTCCAGAAAGAAAACGTTGGAACCATAAACACACTGTTTTTCTTTTGTGACACCGCCGCCATACAATACACATCATTAATCCTTCGAGCCGTTTCTGCAGCACTGGTGCCACGGTGGAACTCGTACTCGAAAATAACGCGATATTTCATGTTTTCCATTGTATAAATATAGAAAGAAAAATAGTTAAAACGGGAAAATTTAATGAATCATGGTTTTCGAAAAACAAATGCACGAGTAAATATGTAATAAATTTAAATACCTAACCAAGTAGGAAATATCTGCGGTCAAAGTGGGCAGACAGTGACAAAATATCATATGACGTAAGGACCTAATATATTAATACATACAATATATTTTTAGTAATATACTTAATACGTGCGCCCTGCGGTTTGTTGAATCGGATGAACCAGCTTAATTCGGTCGCAGAGTGATATACTTAGTGCACACGCATAGCATTATTTAGCCTATAGTTTTACACAATACATAGAGTACCTATGCACTATTTTGTCAATATATTGATGATATCGCAGTTTTTATCACGTGCACACACTAACTCTACAAATAATAAGTTTTGAAAAACATCAGTCCAAATTCATTGTAATTATTTTTTGTATATATACCAAAAAGTTGCTAATTAGGTGGAGTTGTTTCGAAGATATATTTTGGTACATTCGTTTCTATTTATATACATTTTACACTAATATATAAAAAGTAGCACAAGCATTCTAAATACGAAAATGAAATAGGCAATTTAGATAAGGAAGACGGTAAAAAACCAATTTTATCCTACATATACTGTCGTATAGTGTAAACAGTTTTAATAAATGGTTAGAATGCTATCTTAATTACATTTTGAGCCTTGAATGGAAATAGCAGAGGTTCGTTATGTTTAATGTCTAGAGCTATCTAACTTATTTTAATTTTAATCTATCATGAATATATTTACGAAGACGGGCCAAGTTAGAGACGGTTTCAGCAAATTTAAATGTGATTTACGACCGAGAGGCTCTATCAGAGAGGCTTACAGGCTGAAACATTTTTTCATGCTGTTTCAGTTTATTTAAAATAAAACCTCGCGTCTCTATCTAATCCCCTAGCTCGTAACAATATAAATCTTTGGCGTAATTAACAAAATATGGATAAATAATTTAACCCTTCTCTTAACTAAAGTCGCCTACGCCTTAAGAGAGATTTCCTTATCCCTTAATCTGGTCTATTTACAATGTTTCGCGAATTAAAGGATTCATCAGTTATACTTATGAAAGTGGTCCGCTTAAATGAATTTTTATTAAATATTTTTTCATCGCAAAGAAGAAACAATGTAACGTATATGTACGCATTTAATACGCGCTCATACCGTACACATACGAAGGAAAACATTGTGAGGAGACCGGCATACCTTAGATACAAAAAGACGGTATGTGTCAGCTACAAAATGTTGACCTACTTACTTATTAGAAATAAAAAGGAACAGAAATCAGAGGCCCAGAACTAAAAAATGATACTGGTGGTGTGAAATGTTAAAAAATATGTAAAGAAAACTACTCTGAATAAAATATGTTTAGTACTTAGTAAACATTCAGTTATTTATTAAGTCATTTAGTTAAAATTTGTCACCTCACTGCTGCCACCTGACAGCTCAATGTCAATAGCGATATCTAACGATAGGTAATGTTTTTTTTATCGATGAGACGGTTTAATTATTATGAATATTGAGAGCTATTGGAGTATTGTTTGTATTACATAGAATAAAATGTTACCGGCAAAATTTAAAAAAAAATATTGGTGATTTTTCTTCTTCTTGTGGCGCCTATTACTGAAGAATGGCTGTAAATCACTGAAATATCTGCTTGTTCATTGGAATCAGTAATCTAAAACATGCTCCACTGATTTTTCCCTCATCCAGGATATTCCGTAGCCAACGACTTAATCCATATTATAACCAAACGCGTCTTTTCGGGGGAAATAAGCAAATCGAATGGTATTTAGGATCTCATTCAAATGCACACTCACACAATTACATACCCTCACACATTCCCACAAACATCTCACACATTCCAACTTATAAATTAGTAAATGGTCTTGGTTAGTACATAATGTTCTTCGTATATATGGTGCAATCCGTTTTGGCTATATTTTTAATTTAAAATTTGTAAAAAAATGCTGTTATGAATAAATTATTAAATAAATAAATAAGACAAATTGCGCCTACCAGGTTTTCGTTTACCTGCAATTTTGCCCATGGTTGATTCTTCAGATAAAAGTAAATTCGTATTTTCTTATTTGAACTTTATAAGAAGCATTATATATATTATATGACTAAAATAAGGGTAGGTTTTTTAGAAAATTTTTCATTAAATTGAAAAGGTTTAATAAATATATTAAATAGTTAAGTTAGCAAATGTTCATGACGGAAAAAAAACTATCATACTCGTGGGGTTTAAAAAAATGCCCTTAATATTTCTTGAACATCCTTCTATATACAATGAAACTATTTTCATCCTGCAGAAGAGGGCTATTCGTGCAATCTATAATTTTAAATGTAGGGAATCTCTGAGAGATCAATTCATGGAAATTAATATACTTACCTTTCCCTCGCAATATATTTATGAAAATATTACGTTTTCAAACAAACGCAGGCTGCAATTTCTGCGTACTAGACTATCAGCTTAAGTTAGTAATTATTTTATGGGAAAATATATACTTTTCTTTGATAAAATATCAGAGGCTCTTTTATCGCTGCCTTTTAATAAATTTAAGAAATGTATTGAAGAAAAGCTGTGTAAAAAGGCTAACTATTAAGTTAACGATTATCTAGTTGATAAAAGGGCCTGGGGATAGTGCTGGACAGGCTGATTCTAATAAATTTGCGATATTTGTTTTATAAAAAGTGTTGTTTGCCATAGTCATTTTGTATGACGATTTGCTATTTTAAAAGAGTACCGAGTTTGTTTTTGTTGAGTAGGGATGTTTACCGATTCAAATTTAATTACGTGGAATAAGTGTACAAAATATTTTGTGCAAAACAATAGCAGAACACGAATAAGGGTGTGTCGCGTTTGGCTTCTGTCTCCACCGGCAATGCTGTGTGTAACGAACGAACTTGTTCACTGAGAAGATTTTCTACCGACAGATGCTAATATGGCCGGGCAGGAAAACGTTGTGCTTTGTGCTGCACCCCACTTTGCAGCACAATTTGTTATTTTTCGCTTGAGTGCGTCGACAAAACAAACATTTGTGCCGCATAGTTCAGCACACTGGTGGAATCGTACCTTAACACAGTGATTTCTCTAGTGAGAAAATGAAATATGAAGCTTAATTACTTTTTGATTAATATCCTTTAGTGAGAATATCGTTTATTCGAAAATTTTCGTTTATATGGTTGTAATAAAATAAAATAAATAACCCGACTTTTAGTTTTTTATATAATTTTCTTTAAACTGTTTTTGTCATTTTGAAGGTACCGTAACGTATTTTTCTCTAGCATCTTGTCCCGCCTTCGCATAGCTGAACATTTTGTAAAGTATTTTGTAAGGAAATAATTCCAGGTTTTATTCGCACAAGCTCAATGGCTTTCCAGCCATCCATCTAGCACTCCGTTTGTCTAGGCATTTTTTTGCGCACTAGTGAGCTGTGGAATCGGTCCTCCTTGGGAGATACGACCTCTAAATAAAAAATAACATACTTCTTAAAGACCGGCTTAAATAATGTAGCAACCTAATGTTGAAAGAATTTAGAAAATCGAATCGAGTAGTTCCTGAGTTTATTCGTAACAATAATAATTCATATTTTGCTACCGGCTTCTTATTTATATATATTAATTAAGAGTCTATTTTATTTATAAACTTAAGACTTAAACCAACGCGAATTTATTAAATTATACAACTGGCAATGACTACTTTTGCTATGAAGCTCTCGAAATGTCGAGTTAGATAAAAACTGCCTTTAATTTTCTACTAAAATAATCAATAATTATAAACTATTATGATTTTTACAAAAACCAATATAGATATAAGACATTAAACTGTAGGTTAAAATTTTAGTAGGAACCCCCGTTACAGGTATACCCCACCTCCAAGGATTGCCATTACACAAGCCACCTGGAGGCAGTAAGAGCCAGCAGTTTTAGAAAGGTCGTCCTCGCATTTGGGATCGTCCTTTGCGTGGTTTGCCGTTTGATCCTTTCCATGATGTAACTCGTTTGTCCATCTTCTATCTTGAGGCCTATTCACGTCCCACTTCCATCCCAAAATCTTCTTTGCATCTGTAGCATTTGTCACCTTTTTTGGATTCGTTAAACACCCGTTTAGCACTCGAGGCCGGTCTGACAAACTGCTCCTTTATTTACTTACTTATTTCTGAATTTCCATGTTTGAAAAGCGTAGGTAAGCCCAGTAGGAGACAATTATTCATGAGCATGGCTTTAAGGCTCAGTGATATGTCACTTTTGAATATTTCCTGCAAGCTTCAGAATTTATTTCAGGTTTGTTGTATTCTGTGTTCGACGTTAACAAAAGAACTGTTTCGCTTTAGGACAAAGTATTTATGAGTTAGCTTACATATTAGAAATTAGTAAACATCCAAGGTTAAGGCCACATTTTGTTACGGTAGACAGGCAATCAATCACCGCGATAAGAACTTGATAAAATCACAATAGAATCTAATTCGCTCTTGACTTTTACCTAACGGGGTTAAATGAATTGGAACTTTCGGAATAATTACCTGTCTTTAAAGGACTATCTAATTGAGAAGAAGAATTGAAGCGAAATTCAAAGTGATTTGAGTCAAAATCAAAATATTTAATATCGTGTTTTTGTTATATGTATTTTATAATAAGCGTGTTAATAAAATTATATTAAATTAATGGACTCTCCCCACACAAAAATCATTGTTTATTTGGAACCTGTAGTTAGATATGTTGATAATATTTATATACAAACTCTGTAGCTTTATTTCATAACATATTTTAAGTGCATGTTTACTGAATGAAATCATCAGTGTTCTAATCCTTATTCTTTGACAGGCATTGTCACGTCAATTCAAACTGCAATTAATAAAGTAAAATACTACAGTGACTAAAATACCGAAAATATTGATAATATTAAATTTAATAGTGGATACACGATAAAGAACCACGTGGATCGTTGTATCGGTATCCTGAAGAAAGTAAATAGTCAAGTTCACTCAAAGACATTACTTAAAAAAATTACATAACTTCATTCTTTATTACTTGGAAAAATGTCTTAGCTAATTTTTTTATATAACAATGACTCATAATGTACTTGTAACTCATTGACGACTCATTGGTCTAGTGGTTAGTATCCCAGACTGCGAATCCATGGGTCCCGGGTTCGATCCCCGGCTGAGACGAACATCGATGTGATGAGCATTTGGTGTTGTGCTTAGGTCTTGGGTGTTTAAATATGTATTTATACGTCTATCTATCTATAATATGTATGTATATCCGTTGCCTAGTACCCATAACACAAGCTTCACCAGCTTAGCATGGGGCAAGGTCAATTGGTGTGAATTGTCTTTAAAAAAAAAAAAAAAAACTCAGTAAAAGCCGTAGGAATAATTCAGAAAAATATTTGTTTATCAATTTGGTAAATTCTTAAACGGCGATTTTATCTGATAGGAATTGAGAAAAAAAATTCTTTATTATGGTATTAAAGGATACGTGAACAAATGTGCTGCACGGTTTTTCGTGGAATAGTACCTTTATGCTTCTACAGTGTTTTTTTAAGTTTTCATTATAAATGAGAAAATGGTGTGTAACAGATTGGATAGTTTTGCTTTCTCTTAACACTAATTCAATAGAAAAAAAATTAACCTAATCCTTTTTATAACAAATGCTGGACAATGCCACTCTGGTGAATTCAGCCAGTGTTAAACTGAATATGACAGTCTTTGCTGCAACATTATATAAACTCCAATTCTCCTTAACGACTTTCAACATCTTTTCATAATGGGAAAGCTAAAGTCCGCGCCACCACTCATTGCCGACGGGAACCCTGGAACTAAATTTGTCGTTACAGTGAAATATTATTTTATTCGTTTTAACGTAAAACATTAGAAGCAATTCTTGGAGACTAGTTCGCGAATTTCACATTAATTTATGTTACGTTGGGGTAAATTAGCCTTCCACCTAGCACTAGCAACATATTACTACGCCGCGCTACTCGCTACCGCCACGTCTACCGACATTCAGTGGTGGCGCAGACTCTACATAGACATCGTAACACGGACTAATCATTCATTCCAGATATTAACTAGCTAACGTCAATGTATATCAAAAGCTCTATAGTTGTAGTTATACAGCAAAATGTCGTTAGCAGGCCATAAAATAAGAAAATACAGCACAATGTTGATATGCTCTCTTTGCTATATTTGTTCTCATTAACTTCCAATGCAATCAGAAATAAATCATCTATTAGAAACTAAACTAGAAATTATTAACTTTTTAATAATTAATGAATGATTTATTATTAAAAATTTATTATAATGGCTATCTGTATTTGAGCCGCTTTCTAAAGACAAAAGCTCCAATCTTTGAGTTTTCCAATTAATTGTTGAGTTTATGGGCTTCAATACAAAACAACAATTGAAACTAAATATAGGATAGCGTGATGTAAAAGAATCGATTGTTGCCTTGGCCTGAATATACTTATTTATAAATGCAATGCCAAACTGAAACAAATGAATGGGCAACTAGGGAATTCCAAAAAGCTAAATTTTCCGCAACTAAACATTTTCTAATTAGACAATATATAATTCTTACAATGAGACAACTGTGTCGATTTAATGGATTTTTAAATTAACATGTGATTATAATATAATTCTCTACAGTTGTTATGTCAAGATGGTCTCAAGATATTATGAAAAATTTACTTTAAAGTTTACTTAGAACGCGTGGTTTTGAGCCACAAAATGAAAAAATCTTTAAGGCCATAATTAGTAGAATTACAACAAAGTACTATTGAAGAAATAAATAATTGCTTAAAAATACTTTATAGAAATTTCAAAGAAGCATCCTGAAAAGTAGGTAGTATAATAAAGTTATTCTGTTTCTTTGTTCTCGCTGAGTTAATAAGTAAATATACGGGCAATGTTACCAGTCTTATAATGTTTAAGTTTAACGTGATGAATCGTTCTTATAGATGTGTTTGAATTCAAATTGTTTAATATCTACGCGTTCGTATATTTCCAAGTTTATAAGATCTCAGGTTTAAATCTTAGGTGCGATAAAGTCATTGCGATTTTTCATTCATCATTTTCTCACCTCTGCGCTATGTCACTTTTGTGAAATTCGGTAAAATGAGCTAAAAATAATTTGCCCTATCTTACATAAAACTATTTATCATCTGTGCATGATTGGAATGTTAGTCTTAGTTAATGCTATGGATAATGCCTGGTCTCAATTCGTTGTCGTTTCGGTAGGACTTGTTATGGAAAGCTTTATATTTAATAGTGGAAACGGAGAAACAGTAGTTTGCTAAATTAATAGTATTGTACCCGAGCTGGAGGATTTAATAGTGGCTGTAAATTTCTCAGTGGGCGTTGTACTCTCGTGTATTCAATATTCATACTGTATAAATGTATAGAATAGAGATAAAAATAGCAGTAATACACTGCTATTTTAATAAAGAGTGTTTCTGCAGCATAAATCATCAGATTTACATTCGTATCCAAACTCTGAAAAAAATCGTTACAAAATATTATTAATTATGCCAGCCATGAAATGTCATGTACTTTAATCAAAGATAAATTGTAATTTGTTACCAGTATCCAAGTATGTAACGTCCTCTCTGTCCGCATATTCTGTCCTTACCGCAATCAGCCACATTCCATTTGCCCCTCGGTCTATTTTCTGTCTTCGCCGCTACATAATGGAAAATGTTTGATAATTGTACATTTTGAAATATTTCCATGACAAGAAAATTGTTTAAAAATTTATCTAGATTTAACTATAAACATGATGTAAAAAATGGTTGTTAAATTAAAAAAAACTTGGGTGCAATTCACACGTGGTAGATTTCTACCTTTCTAAATTTATCCTTAATTCTTCAAAAATGTTGGTTCTAAGATAATGAGACGAATGTAATTTTAATTCTGATAAAAAACTACAATAATTAAAGTTTTAAAGTCGATTAAACGAAAAAGCGACAATAAAAAGGGACAGACACACAAATTCATAAGATTTAAAGTGGGAGAAAATGAGATAGGAAGCATTATACAGTGTATAAACTTTAAATTTGTGTGTATTTGATCATTTCCTGAATTAACAAAACAGTCGTCACTCACAAAAATACAGAAAAAAATATAAAGGAAATACAATCCCGAAAATATTTGGGATTTATTGAGTGACGAATATTCTAATCGAGGCTTAATAAAAAAATATGGGAAGAAATAGTGGTTATTTTGTAGCGGCTTCATAAAATATTTTTTCGTCAAAGCATCCTTTTAGTCTCCGTTAGAGTAAACTATGTACCCAACACTCTTCTGTTTTAATTTTAAAGTGAAACTTTTATTACATCGTCTCAATCTTTTTCGTCTGTGTGTTGCATGTCGCGTGACGGTCGGCCGCGGAGTAGGGATAAAGTGAAAGGCGCTCGTCATAGCAGACAAGGCCAATATGGCGGCGCCTATAGTTCGCAGCAGCTGACCGTGTAGTGTATAGACTATTATTTAATATGTGTATATAATCTAAATAATTGTTAAGTATTATATATGACGTACTCTCTAAGACACAGAGTTCCATAAAAATATTAGTTGGAGACTTAGTCTACTTTTATCATTCCAATTTTCCAAGTATAAAATTAAAATTGATAAAGCGATTTTTATAATGTGAAAAAAAGTTTCACTTTTACCGTGGTTTCATAAAACCACACAATCCTTTTCTTTTATTTAGCTTTCTCTTTAAAATTAGTAGTACTTCTTCAGCGTTGCAAGAATTTACTTGGACTACTGTCGCTCGGCTTGGTCTCCTGGCCCATGTTGCTTATGTTTTGGTCGCCGAGTGACTGATTGCCTTGCGACAAGTCAACAGTGCGTCACGGCTCTTATAATCATTGATATCATGAGTAACAACGAAAGGATAAATACCACTTTACTCCTAACATTTTTTTGTAAATTCCGCTCTTAAAATGATTCATTAACTATTTTAAGCTTTCGATTTAAAGTCTTACGTGTATGATTGTTGGTTGACAAACGTCGAAAAGCTCATCTGAAAAATCAAAATGGATACTTCAATACTTATTCATATGATGTTGTTTAAAGTCGGTTTGTAACGAATATTAAATAAAGATATTTATCAAAATCGTATCGTGCTTGTAGTTGATATCTATTAAAATCCTTAGGATTTAAAGTATTCAATAAGACCAGACAGTCACGAACTATATACACGCTATCACAAGTTCTATAGTTTTATGTGGTTGTATCACGTCCTGATTAAGTTAACCCAATTTCACCAATTTTACATTATGAAAATTTTAACTACTAAAAATACTGAAATACTGACATACTTAATTATTGTAATTTCCTTAAGAATGAAACATAATAATGTTTGTAAATGGGGTAATACTGAGATTAAGGCGGCGCAACTTTCAAAGCAAACATTACAATTTACAGTATCCCGAAAACACTTTATATGACTAATTCGTAACTGAGCTAAATTGTTTGCCACAGTTAAGTTGATTTATGTAGTCGGGATGCGGGATGAAGCGTTTTTTTATATTTCACTTTTAGCTAGAATAAACTTTTTCTACTAGCAATTTAGGTGCTGCCCCGATGGATTCTTCTATGTGCGCAATCAACATTTGCTCGGTGAATTAAAACGTTATATGATAAAAAAATATAATAAACGGCCGATTACCTCCTTGCCTGTGATGAGGCTTAAGAATACAGACGAGAGAAAAGACATTTGAGCTCACAGATTTTTAAATCGATTCTTTAGAAATATATGCGATTTCTTCTAATTTTTGCAACGGATGCCATCACGGTTATAGTTACAAATGATTTTTTTGCCTATATTTTTATAGAAAAGGCAAAAAGGTTAACCAGTCGTTTGCAGCTGTGGTTGTGTCACAGCCACAATAATATATGTTCATATATTGAAAACAAACAACCTCATATATTGTTCAGCGCCTTGTTAATTGTTTAGCCTGAAATCTCAGAATAACATCAGACAATAGCAAGGGAAAAACATAAAATTAAAATTGTATTCGTTGGGTATTTTTTGGTCAACCTGGGATTTTATTGCTTGGCTCCATAAATTTAAGATCGATGTTACTATAGTTTGTAACTCTTTAGTTTTAATTTTAACATCTGTAGTGTAGTGTAGCCCTTTAGGCACCGAGGTTAAAGTGACTATGAAGTTAGCAGAGCACTTACCAGCAAAACACATGGTGTTCTCGTAGTAATAGTTCTAGAGATCCTTATAGTTTTTAGAAAGAGTTCTGAAAATTTTAAAACAACAAAATTTACAATAAGCATTTTTCTTAGTTTTTACTAAATAAAAAAAAATGCACAGACATGAAAAATTCGCAGTTTCAATTAGTTCTATTAAATATCAGAATTTTCGTTTTCTTTGAAACTAATTTTAAAAATTGCCAATTTTATAACTCATTTTCGTAAAATTTAAAAATAATACTTTTGAGTCCTAGACATGGGAACTCCGCGCTTTTTATTACATATTTAGGCAAAATGTCGTGTAGACCCAAAAATGTATTATTTTTTACTTGCTTTTTCAATATGTTTTCCTAACAGTACATAAGTCATAGTACCATACCATAGTCTTGAAGTTGCTTTAAAAATATTAACCAAACTGAAATGTATTTGCCCCAAACCCGATTAGAACGTTACGGGAGTTATGGAAACATTCATGATATTTTTATTGCAGGTTGTGCAATGATGTAGTGTCGAAGCGAAATCACACCCTGAAACCCAGAGTTGTTCTACCAGAAACATACGTCAAAGGTAATATTTTAATGCATTTTTATGTATAATTTAATCTTCATTTCATTTTCATTGTAATTTAGTTTTCTTTTCTTTCTAAAAAGCGTTTGCGAAAGAAAATGCAGTTAATATGCAGATTCCGAACTTTAAAATATGGTCCACATTAAATCATAATACTCAATCCAGAAATTGAAACATTTATACGAATATAATATATCCTAGACAGAGACAAAGCTTGTCAAATTCAAAGCGACTAGGATTCTCCAGACCTCTCTACCACAACCTTGTTTAAATGTATTGCTACAATTTCAATTGTCTTACATAATCTACAACCTATAAAAGTAAAAAAGTATACAACCTTTAAAACACTAAACACATTATTAAGTACCTATTAAATAGTTATGAATCAATCGTCTCAAGGGAATGATTTCGAAATTTAATGTCGTGTTGAAACAAATGAAATTGATTTTAGCAAGATGTTATACTTCCGTATACGATATTGCAGTATATCGTACTGTATCGTAAAGGCATGAATTGCATTAAAAGGCTCTCACTTCACACGGAGACCAATGAGCAGACGGGAAGTCCAGTTTTAGATCCACGAGATATTTATTTTAATATCCCGAAATCTGTGCACCGGGATACAATACTTTTTCGGTACATTTCATCTCTTCAGTACACAAAAATCTTCCTCGACATTAATTAATTGCGCGTTGTTCTTCGGGTTTTTGGAAAATAAGGCTTCCGTAAAACATATATAGATAAAACTACCATAGTTTTAGTACAAAAATAAATTTATGGCTTTATTTATTTAATATGTACAGAGTCAATAAATCAGTAATATTGGGTAAAAAATCGATACATTATTTACATAACTCGACGTTGGCCGATATTCATTTACAGTTTATGGACTTGTAAATTATTAAGTATTAAGTCAGCGTCGATACAAGTAGGTCTTGGCCTAGGATGTCTATCGATTTTATTGATTTCTCTTTATATTCAGGTAACTAAGTATTATTAAATGAACGGACGTCCCCAAGAGGTTATTAAGGTTAAAAATTTACTCCTTATGTATGATTAAACTACAATAAATTAGTATCAATATTATTAATATTCAAATGGACAAAAATATTCCTTATAATGAGTTCAAAAGTTTTAAGTTCAATTTGCACGAGTACAATTTTTCCTTATAACAAAGTTTTACAATATTAGCTTGTCAAAAAGACTTCCTTACCAATTTATATACAAGCTCCTGATTTAGAAATGAAAATATTTTGACAAATGTTTACTTATAAAAAAATATACATTTATTTAACACAATGCCATGCTCGTATAAGTATTTTTAGCTTTAGTAGTTTTTTAATACATTTTAAGCTACCTTAAGTCTCAAAGACATTACAAACTAAATCAAGCCTTTTCCACCTTACTAATGTTACATCTCTTTTTATCAAATTCTGTTTAAGCTGTAATGTGTGCCTTTTCATATTAATTAAACCTTAATGTATCGATATTAATAACGTTTTACAATTTAAGATTTTATAAAATATTTAAAATTGTAAAGTACACTTGTAATATCGAATGGGAGATTAAATTGATTAAAAACCGGTAATTCAATAAAAAATACAAGTACAGCGGTTAGCGTGTGTGTAAACACTGAGTGTTTGAATCCTAACTATTCGCTTATAATTTTTTTTAAAGATATTATATAACTAAATTATTATTTCAGAAATGCGCCCCCCTTCACGCAAAGGACAACCAGTAATTGTGGAATTTAGTATATATGTTGTGGATGTAAATTCAATTAATGTTGAAGATATGGATTTTAGGTAAGTCTTATAAAGTTGAAGGAGTTCTGCAACTCAACTTTATGAATGAATTTTCTCGTGGAATAAATTACTTTGTTGTTTTGTAAAAAATTCGGTAGGCGTAAGCTACCGTCATTTATTAATGAAGATGAATTCGTTTGAAAAAATCTTGTTGTTTTTGACGGAATACTTTTAATTGAGTGATTTAAGTCCCGAAAGAAGTCTTTTTGAACTTCCGGGGATATGACAGGTTGAGACACAAAGGAGAGAAATAAGTCCAAGTTGCTACTGTAGGCTTGAGTAGGTAATAGTAGAGTTCCCGGGGCATTCAAAACCGTAAATCCTCGGATTAGAGTTACAGTGAATGAATTAATATGATCGATGTGGAATATTGTTTTTTAAACTATAAATTGCAATGTTTAACCAAAATTTTTTTGTGCACTCCATTGTTATAATTAAAAAAAAAATATTATGTAAAATTAATGTTTGACCATATATTTTCACTTTAAACAGTATTTTATTTTATTTATATTTTGTTAAATCTTACATTCGTTTATATTTTTTATGAATTATTCTCTATTACCTATTATTATAAGTATATTATTAACAATCAGTTAAATAAACCTTATCACGTTTTCCAGAGTGGATATGTTTATAAGACAAACGTGGATCGAGAGCCGTCTTCAGCTACCTGATGACATATTCGAGGAAGGTGATAATCACGTCACACTACCTCCAGAGTTTTTTGATAATCTGTGGCATCCCGATCCTTATTTTTTGAATTCTAAAGTCACAGGTATGTCAAATAACAGGTTTTGTATATTTTAGCACAAATACGTATACTTACCCGGACTCCCGACCGCCTCTAGTAGTGATTGACGGAAATAGCAGGCCCTAACTTGCCCAGTTGGACTTCTAGCAAAACAATAATTATTGTTTCAGCTTGGTACTAACACTATTCCTATTGAAAATTTCGGTCATAAAAATGCCCTTTGGAAAGCTTATATTTACCGTTAGGTAAATTTCCGGAAGAAGGTATTTTACCAAAACAAGTAAAATAAACGTACTCGGTTCTTGAACGTATCTATTTGTCATTCGAAATGGTAATTTCAGTACAAATTTACATTTCATATAAATCAAACTCATATTCGACATACTTACACAAATTTAAATTAGGTTCTATTTGAATTCATCGAATTGCTTTATTATCTCTCAAATATAATACGCATATTTAATATTATACCTGGTTTAGAATAAATTGTAAAACACAATTATTAAAACCATCAGAGTTTGATTGAACAACATATTAACCGAGTTGAAATTAGTTCACAACTTCGTAACGGTCGAAATTTCTTCAGACTATTACATTAACTCGTTGTGTTCTTAAAGCATTATTTTAATAAAATTCAATACCGTCATAGAATAAAGAGACGAAAAAATAAAATATTCATAATTAGTATTCCCGAAATTAGGCAAAATAAGTTATTTTATATGTTTATGATTTACTAAATCAATTGACAAATTAAATAACAAAAGATAATAGTTGTACTAATATAAATTTTATGGTACTACGCTATTAAAACATTATTAAATGCGACTAACTTTGTAAGTCCATATAATGATTTGGGTGTCAGTCTAGAGACTATGTATATAGTAGTCTGTAAATAAAAATCACCTACTATGAACAAGCTAAAAATGAATTTAATGTAAACAAAAAAAGCATATGTACTTGTACAATATATTAGATCTCTATACAATTCAATTGCGTATCTATGCATATTCTATTGAAAAATACCACCTTAGAGCAGTGTTGTTGAGAAGGTGGGGCCCACGCCCCACAGGGGGGGCAATTTATACGAAAATTAAATTAAATTATAGGATTAAGAATTTAAGATTTTCTTTATGTTTTACTTACTGTGTATCGTTAACAAATTCCGAGTAATTTCTTCCTAAAAAGGAAAAATATGATAGGCATCGTTTATGTTTCTTTTATGTAACGATAAAAAAAATTGAAATTAAAAGTAATGTATGTTGAATAGGGTGGGGGTGGGGTGTTATGATTAACGACCTTCCAAGCGTTATCAAATATTCCAAAGTACTATTATTTGCTGACGACGTTAAGGTCTTTAAAATAGTTGAGACTGACAATGATCGTCTGTGTATGCAACTTGATTTGGATGAACTGCTGCATTGGAGTGAATTAAATAAACTCCAATTCAACTATGACAAATGTGAAGTGATGACCTTTAGTGCCTCTCCGAATAAAATACTCTGCGACTATAGCATAGGATCGAAAGTTATTAGGCGCGTAGACAGAGTCCGCGACTTGGGTGTCCTGTTTGTGCCCGATCTTTCATTTGCGGAGCATATTCGGACGATTACGGATGGTGCTTTTAGGAGATTAGGGTTTGTCCTGAGAAATTCGGTTGGTCTGACGGACACTGCCACTAGGGTGCTATATTCATCATTAGTAAGGCCAATTCTCGAAACCAGCTGCGTCATATGGTCCCCCTATGAAAGGTATTATGGGGATATGATTGAACGAGTGCAAAATAAGTTCCTGGAATCTGTATAAAAGAAGATACAATTTCTTTCCTTACCTCTACCCTACTAAGTTCTTGATGGGGGTGTTAGGGTATAATTCATTAGAGCTTCGTAGGGATTTTTCGGTGGTCAGGTTTGGTTTGAGTGTAATTAAGAATGAAACGGAAAGCGCATACTTGCTGGAAGAGATCATGAGGCTATACGTTCCGGACAAAATATATTGCCGCTGCCGGAAACATAACCTTTTCGCTGTGCGTTCGGCTCGCACTGTCCAGCGACAACAAGCGCCCATTCCCCGGTTACTCTCACTGCTTAATGGGTTTCTCGACTCTTCACCGGAGAGCGACCTGTTTGGGAAGCTTATGGGGGTGGTATACTGTGGTTTCAGAGTGTGCCTGGAGGGGATAAGAGGGTAATGCTACCCTGTACTGTAAATTTAATAAATCTTAATTGTTTTTAGTCTAAGTTTGGCCATTGAGCTGTTAATAAATAAATAAATAGTAAGATTAAGGTGGGGCATGGTACAAAAAAGGTTGAGAAACACTGCCTTAGAGGGTCATATAGAGCTAGAATAAATCTGATTAATTTGAATCGAACCTGAACAGAGAAAGAATATTTATAACTGTGAATATATTTTATATTTCGCGTTAAGAATAAATCCAAATCTATATTAAATTTTGGTTGAAACTTTGTTCCCAATATATGTTATCTTTCAATTATCAAAGTTCAATTATGTGATTCTAACATTGGACTTTGACTTTGTAAAAATGAAAATATCACCAAATTTTAAAAGATTCAAGTCGACTAGAAACTTACAGAAGAAGAAATTCATAAAAAAGTTAAAGATATTCTTATCAAATTCAAACTTCATAGATATATTTTTAAATAACTAATTTTGCTTATATTTTTTGTTCTGTTGGTTCTCCTGAGATTAAGTTATAATATACATAGAAATGAACACCATTCGGCGGAATATTACAAATTACTTCACGCCATCTAGTTAATATTGTAACAAATTTAAATTACAGATTGATATAATATCAATCTGTAATAAATTTAAATTATGGTGGCAGTGTCTTGTTGCGATAAATTCGCGTTTTTTTTTCATTTAAGATGTTTTTTATAAAACGGTGATGGTATTTTACATTTTTATGATTTTTACGATGCCCAAACAGAATCGTATTACCTATATCGGGACCATTAAGTCCAATACCACAATTGTACTAAACAAGTGCTTGTAAATATGTAGATGCTACACATAATATTTACATTTATGTGTAGAATCATAGTTTTTTTTATTATCTATAGATGTGAGCGAGCATAAAAGATTACACTTATTAGATACTTTGAACCTCCCAGAGGTACTTTTTAGTTGACCTCAAGCAATACATTTACTCTAGACTATAAATAAATGTTCTTGAGTTATAAGTAATTGAATAGGATTAATTAACATAATGTGGATATTGCTTTTATATTTTTTCTATTTCGCGTTTTTTTATTGTAATACTAATTTTACCTTCTAGGAGGGGACTGTCACTTTTGCCATCAATCAGCTGGTATGCATTTTGATATAACACATTGCACCAGCACCTACCTAGATTTAATAATTTATTTGCATATTTTTTTCTGGTATGGGTTTTTGGAAAAAGGTTACCGTATTAATTTTGTAATAAAGATTTTAGAGCACACTTTGCACTTTCAATTACAATTATTAACGAAAAATATTAAAATTATCTTGGTACAGAAAACGGTCTCAATTATATAATCACTCCACGTTCGCGCTGGAGGTGGAGCTTGATCAGAATATAATAACAAATTAAACGCTAACGCCTTGCTCAGGTACAGTACCATCAGCTGTGTACATAGATAGGGATATCGCTTTCCTTGTTACCGATATAGTTCTTTCAATATTCGTAGCGCTGATATTGCAAAAGTGGGATAGCGCGGTACCAAAACTTAACATAAAGGTTCTATTGGAATTTACAGAGCACTTGTCAGTGCCTTTATAGAGATTTTTTCATGTAACATCGACGAGAGTGCCGTTCAATGTGATAGAATGGTATGAGTTCAAAGCACATGATTTTTTGAATTTAAGGTCCTCCTTAAATTCAAAAAATCATGTATCAATCAAATCAAATCAAATAGTTCCGTCAGATTCCTATCTGACTCCGCTGCGTTGCCATTAGTCGTGTTATTGTCGAATTAAACAATTACAAAAGCTTTATATTATTATAAATATGTATTTTATATTTCACCGTATAATAAATAATGAATACAACCTAGGCTTCCGCTTAAAGGATGAAAATCTTAAGTGACGGAAAATGATGAATTATGTTTATATCTTCGTTCTTAACCCACTTTTTTGTGTTTTATCAGATTAAGAATCTTTGAATTATTTTGTTAATAATGAATGTATGAAATTAATAATATGCACTACATTTTATATCCATAGCCAAATAATTACGAATCTCTGTTTAAAAATGGAAAACGAATAACCCATTCTGGTAATTCAAGATTTAATGGAATCCTCACGATCCGTTTTCAAAAGGATTAAATAATAAAATATATTTAAAATGTTCCTGGTTTATACTATTCATAATTAAAATGTTTTTTTTGACATTTTTAACAATACGCCTAAAATTAATGAAAGAAAAAAATATTATTGAATCAAAATCTTTTTATACGTTAATTTATAATAGATTAAGTTTTTTGTTTCTGTATAAATTCATGAAAATTTATTAATACAACCGTACAAGCGATACCTTCAACTAAAAAGGATTATCGCACAAACAAGAAGTGTCTAGGTATATCAATAATCTTTAATTGTATAATCTATTGTTATGCCTATTGACATGAGATGACATGTGTTTGATAAAATTTTCTGGGTATAATGAACTTTCTGAATATTATTACTAACTAAAAGTATATATGTAGATAGAAAATTCGATTGGTGTACAACTGAGGCTCGAACGCACGACCATAGGCTGCAATATTGCAGCCACAGCACCAATATTATATTTAATTTTTCTATTACAGAAATAGCAGAACTCACCCACAAGTTCTCTTCCGTAACGTTATACAGGAATCAAACTGTTAGATACGCTGCAAGGATGCACGCCATCATCGCATGTCAGATGGAATTTCAACTCTATCCTATGGACATACAGTCGTGTCCTATTTATATAGAAAGTTGTAAGTTTATTTATTTACCTTCCGGCACTGGCGTAATAACTTTGTTGTTTTATACTACAAGGCTAAAGACCAAATATTTAAGGTTCCGAATAAACTTTTGCATTTTCCTTTTTCACTATAATATCTCGTTACTGCATTGGACAATATACTTGCCAATAAAACATAAGTAGTTATACCTGAATTAACTTATAATAAACTAAACTAGTATACATATCGTAAATAATTGAATAAGGGAACACGATGACATTTATTTTATTATGAAAATATCACGCAATATCATAGACATCTTACAGGTTGCAAATTGTCAATACATCAGTAGTGCGTTAGATCGATCGTTGAGGCTCGAGTTTTATGTTTCAATTTTCAATTGCTCTCTGATCGACGCCGGCGCCAGACGTGCGCACTGCCATTTTGGTTCTTAAATCTCAATAAATCAAGATGTCGGACGACAATGAAAACCATGTGGTTGTTTCCAATCTTTCTGAATCTACTATATATACGTGTAAAAGTAAATAAATAAAAGCAAAATAAATTATACTTTCTTCTTCTGTCTTGTGAGGGTTTGGATCTATAAAATCGGTGTATTTATTGTATCAATATTGCAAATAAATAAATAAAATAATTGTCATTACTACTTAATGTAGTAAATATGTGATAAGTTTTGAATCCGTATGACAGAGGCGAGAGGTTAATCTACTTTGCATAGTATTGGCAAAGACATAGTACAAAAAAAGGAGTTTATAATAGTTTAACAAGCAAAATCAATAAGAATAGAATGCTGTAACATCACAAAATTAAAATTGGTTTTTACATAGTTGTACAATCATGTATACCAAGTACTAAGAAATCGTGTTTGATGTTGAATTTGTTATCTCAGATATCACCTCACTATACATCTTCCTATGGCCTCGTAATTTGTCGCTTTATATAATTGTAAGGATGGGAATCCTTATTCATTTAGGTGTACTGGTACCTATTTACTCGACTATAGAACCTGAGGCTTACAAATCGACGTGTATTTTATTTTGGATACATTTATAAACGCATATTTAATATCCGTTAATAGTACAGTGCTTGTGTTGTTTTTTACTAACTGCCTTCCCCGGCATCACATAGCAGGAAAGCCGAAGTAAAATAATTTATGAAAATAGGTCTAATAGAGCGAGAGATTAGCGCGGTAACTAAAGAAACGTTTGAAGCTTATACTATTAGTATGGATTAAGTAGGAGGGTTAAATTAAATTCTTAAGAATCAAGAACATCTCAAACCCCGAAATTTATAAATTATGTATTAATTTTCAGTTTCATACAGTAATCAGAAAGTGCGGTTCAAGTGGAGTGAAGCTGGGGTGACGATAAATCCAGAACTAAAGCTACTTCAGTATAACATCGGAGAGCCATTAAGATTAGAGGAGACTAATGGATTGATGATTGATAAAGAGGGTACCTTGATTGTACTTATTCTATTATTGATAATTGAATTATGTTAATTACATTACTATTTGCTTAATATAATTCGTACTTAATAATAATAATCCAGTGGCACTACAGACTTACGAGTCTTTGATTTTTCTTTCATATTGCGCACATAGAAAGAAAATCCATTGTTGTACAGGCCAGAATCGGATTAACGACTTCAGGGTTGAGATTCGCACGCTTACTAGGCTAACACTGCTCTAGTGTTTTCAGTAACCACCAGAAACCATAGGCTACAAATACATACATTATACGTATGCGATATCCCGATCCAAAAAGAGTTTTAAGCTATTGCATAGATTTTATCGCGGGCTATGAACGCGGCAACTAAATTAAGACATTCCGTAACGAAAATAAAACTAACACACGATGACGTAGCCGTATAGGTTCGGCTAATACGCGTTAGAGTGGGCAGAACGTATACTGCGCAGTTACATCTCTCTGACGAGATCGGTAACGTTGTCAAACTAGATTTATATTAAGTTTTGGAATCTTTACGTACTCTATATAATATAATATATAATTCATTTGTACATTTGCAGGAAACTTCTCTCGCCTGGTGGTATACTTTCGCTTTGAGCGTCAAATTGGTCATCACCTTATACAGACCTTCGCCCCTTCCTCACTAGTAGTGATGCTGTCATGGTTTAGCTTCTGGTTGGATCTGGATGCAGTTCCTGGAAGAGTAACTCTGCTTGTCACATGTATGCTGACCTTGGTCACAATGTTTACAGGTCTAAGAGCTGATATACCTCCCGTTGCTTATGTAAAGGTGAGGTTATCAGTTTTATATTTAAGTTTTAATAATTTAGGTAAAAAATACTTTAACATTCAAGCCAGCGCTTCCTGCGTCAAATTTGTATTGGATATTTACTAAGGAAGCTCTTAGCTATATTAAATTACACTTAATTAGAATCTGCGAATATATATATTATGCGATATTCTGATAGATGGAGAAAAAGTGGATAAATTCGTGTATGTTTATTGCGGATAGAAAGTATGATAATAATATAGAAAGAATTCACTCGGCTGAAAATAGAGAAAATGGACCTTTGCACTCCTTCTGTAGCCAAGAAACCTCAATCGAGACTCGACTGGCCGTACACAGGGGATTATCTTGACGTTAGCATACGGTAGTGAATATTGGGTGTGGCAGAGGAAGAATGATGGTCGAATAAATGCCGTGGAAAAGAGAGCGTAAAGAAGTATGCATGGTGTTATAATGCGTGATAGAATAAGTAATAGTGATATACGTGAGCAGTGTGGGCTAAAAGAGACGGAATGACTGGGATACGAAAGGCAATGCTTAGATGATGATGTAGAACCTAAAAATGAGAAACGTATAATAAGTAGGATATACAGCACAACTGTGGATAGTAGTCGTTGGGTAGGCCTAGACTAGAATTGTAAAACAATTTACAATTCTAGTAACTGACGCAAAAACTAGTCAACAGTGTTTGACTAGTGTAAATAAATCTATATTTTATTTATTCAATACTCGCTGTAAATAAATATATTGGAGTGGATTCTGATGTCAATAAAAACCTTTTATTCTGAAATAAAATACAGACATGCCATATATATTCTATATAAATGTGACTAAACTAAACGAAACATTCCACGCGACTCGATTTTAATGTCAACCAAGAGTCAACGTTATGATAAGTGATTTCACTTATTATTTGTGAGAGTTTTTTAGTTTAGCTTTGTATTGTGTTGTGAATGTCAATAATAGACACTATAAGTCAAGAGTATCCGGAAGACAAGATTTTAATTAAATTAATTATTTTACAGGCATTAGATTTGTGGATGGCCGGTTGTATGATGTTTGTTTTCGCTGCCCTTAGCGAATTCGTCGTTGTTAAAGTGTTAGATAAACAATATCAAATGAACAAGTCGAGAGCACAGGAAGCCATTCCACGAATAATACCAGTTGTAAGTATTATTCAAGCAATTCCACAGAAAACAGAAATAACTTAAGAGAACGAATAAATGGAATGTAGAGTACTCTACAAAACATTAGAAAAAAGGGGAATCTGTTTCTCTCATATTTTAATACTCCTATTCACACATGTAATGTTATCTCGATATTTGCGTGGTTACGGCCTATTAGTCCATTGAAATGTTACATTTGCTGAAAATTTGTTAGAGGCTACTGACTGGTACAACTATATTTAAACCTATAATTGCATATTTTTTAATGTAATAGGAGGCTCACCTGATGTTAAGTGATACCGCAGGCCATGGACACTCACATTGCCACATTGCCACAAGGCTCGCAAGTGCGTCCTTTTAATAATTGAAGGACATAGGTTATTAGTACCGAATTTGTTACTATGGTTACGTTGCTATTTCTATAGAAAATAAAAGTACCTAACAAGTAATGTACTAGCTTACACGTTTATATAATGTCGGCAAACTTTTCCTCTTTATAATAAAATTTGTCTTTTTGGACCACAATGTTGAAATAGTCACGTTCTCTAAATAGCATCATAATAATTCAATATTCGGATCTAAATTGAAATTCCAAACACATTATTGAAACCTACCTAAATGCGAAATGCCACTGTCGTCTTATTCCTTACTGGTGGCTTCGCACGACTTTACATTTATTAAAAACTTTGGGACTAAATATAGCCTATGTTACTCAGAAATGATCTAATCTATATTAAATACTTGTGTAGGTAACCGATTAACACAATATCATGACGTTGCGTTATTATTTATATATAGTAACTATATTTAAAACTAATTACTGCCATCAGCGTATAAATGGCGAGAAGGGATCCTGTGGCACAGTTGCCGCCTGGGAGGGAAGTGGGGTCAGATGTCGCAAGGTTGACCTCACCTCACCCGCATCTCCCCCAGCCACAACCCCAGCGGTGCATTCTAACCCAGCCGCCCCCACACACCTCGTAGGGGAGCGAAGGCAAAGTATATTGCAAGTAGGTTTGCCCATAAAAACTCATAAGGCGTGCTGAATTGAATATGTAATATTTTTAAGTAGTAGTATGTATATTATGCATTATACATATTAACTTAAGTTAATAATTAAGGAAGAATTTATTTGTAAAAGCTTCTGAATTATTGTCAATGCGACAAATACCATAATAATTCATTTTAAATTCATTATAATAAGGATGCTAGAAAATCCGTACTTTGATTATTAATTATAAACGATATAATCAATAGCGAAGTCCAATAAATTTTATGATCTGCATATAATTATATATAAATATATATATAAAAGTCGATGGACCTAACCGGTTAATTCTTAATTAAGGATTATGTGAAGTCTGAAAAAAATTAAAAAGAGGCACAATTGAATATAAAATGTTCTTATGAATTAAGCTAGTTTCTATATATAGTAAATATCTTTAAACAGTAGAGATGTATTTTTAAATAGAAAAGTTTAGTTTCCTTAAATTTTTAAAAATTGAAACGTTTCGAACATTTTTATGACTGACCTGATAAATCAAGACCTGAGAGCAACATTAAGTCTATATTCTACGGCTGCGCGTGTGTGCTGAGTTCATGAGGAAAAACTTGCATTAACTACTCACGGGACGCCCTATATCGGGTGTGAAGAAATTATTAAAAAAGTTTGTCTTGGCGGATCGTAGTGTTACTATTTGCTTTATATAATTCTAATTCTATGATTAAATAGAGTAAATGAAATAAAGGTTGTATAGGAAGTTTCTATAATATTATGGACGAAACATTATGATCTGGAAACAAAAAAACAGTCCATGACTTGGAAGACTTGGAATTATTACCACCCCTTGGTTTTACCAGAAAACCTTAATCATATTACCACTGACTTTATAGTACAACAGAGTTGCGTGAAGGCCAGCAACGGCAATCACGCTACAGTTGTTTTGTTTCACCAAGATAACGCCTCCGCGCACAAGTCCAGAGTTGCGATGGCTGTTCAAGCTGGCTTCGGACAGAAGGAGCTTCTTCCAACATTTCACAGGCTATACATTTGAAGATGATGATGCAGTAGTTTCTGCAGTACACGATTTTTAAGGAATCTCGAAGTTATTTTTAAGAAGAGAATTTTACAAAATAGATATACAAAGTGTGACGTGTGTTACAGTATAAAGAGTGTGACAGTGATAACTTCGAAAAATCAAATATCATTTAGTAAAAGATTATTGCGTCATACTCATTATCACTTTTTATCGAACATCCCTAGTATAATATAGAAAAGATGTATTTATTTAAACTTTATGATAATTGCCTTTCAGGTTGCGTGGCTGGATGCAGATACAGGCCAAGAAAGAGTATTATGGCGGGAAATAGACAAACTATCAAGAATTGTATTTCCTGCTTTGTTTCTTCTCTTCGTTACCTTATACTGGCCTGTGTTGCTGTTAAAAACTAAGAGTTCTTCACATTAATTAATTCACGTCTTATTTCATTTAGAAAAAGGTGACATAACTTGAAAAATCTTAGACAGAAGTTGTAACTATGTATCTCTCTCAAATCCCGACATTCCTTTGACAAACTTTTGTACCGCGCGGTCCTAATGTCGCCACATCTTCGCTACGGATATTGAGAGAACTACATCGAACTTGCTTAAAAAACGTCGGGATTGGGATCACTGTCGCTATTGGAAGTAACAGTAAGATTTCTAGTATAAAAAAGTCAGATCTTAAACCATTCTTAATTATTATTATTGTAAACAAAATAAGTGTACTCGTAAGAAAATATTTTATAACTTTTTCTTAAAATTCTAAGAAACTCTCTGAAACATTGTAGAAAGAAAAACTTGTAACCAAACATTGTGTACAAGCGAAATTTGCAACGAAAATATTAATTAGCCTATAAAAATATGAAATTATCAAAGAATATTTGATATTTACTTGTTATGATAAAATTATTAATAAATCGTTGAACACGTCTGTGCCGAGGGCACTTAAGTTATATTAATATAATCTGTTATATTTAGCTTTAATTCATGAGCTTATAATATCGTATAGCGAGCCATCACAGCTTTAATACATTGTGATAATATATAAGAGTAATTATAAACGTAAGTCATCCTTCATATATATAGCGCACATTATCAGCAGCATTAGCAGAGTGAAATTAATAAATTCCTTAACAAGAGAGGTCAAGATATTAATCAAGAGTACAGGCTTAGTTTAGAAACAACTGTGGTTTACTTCAACTGTAAAGTTTTACTTAATGAAAACCTTTTGAGTAGATTATTTTAACACTTTAAAACCGGACATGTTAAAACGAAAATAAGTTAAATATGTAAGTTCGTAACAAAATGTTATTTCAAAGAATATCAAAAATCGAATATCGGACGATAAACAACAAAGGTCAAAGATCTTTAAAACGTCCATTCGAAACTAATTTTAGAGAGAAAAACCATCTTGTTTTTTACAGGTTTTAATACAATTATTATAGGCCTTCAAACGAAATATAGCTTAACACTTTGACCCCTTTGTAAGCCGTACAGTGGAAGCAGAATATAAAGTACATCGTGACATGAAGGTATATTACGGATTTTAAAAATAGAATATATAATAGAACGATAAAAGTTTTAGCCCTTTTTTATTTACAATACAACCCACTCAAAACGACCCTCTTTAATCATCTGCCCGAAAACCGGAAAACTCTCTCGAATGAAGCTTAATAAGCTTATTAAACGAAGAATGCTTTTCAACGGAATCCGACGAATCATAATAAAGCGACACATACGTATTGTCATAGTCAGTATAACATAATATTTTGCGGCGGACAATGTCACAAAATAATGGCATCCGATTACGCTTTCTCGATTGAGCGATCCTGTCACAAAGTATCCTTGTCTATGGGTCATCTATTTTCGTTTGTTACGCATTACAATATTAATTAATGTATAATGTTTAGGTAATTTCTTAAAGCGTTATAATTTATGTGTGCTAATAGTGTATAATGCTATTTGTCTTGGTGCTGCAAATTGTAATATAGTATAATATATTATATACAGAATAATTTAATTTATGTAAAAAAAATATAGATATGATGACAATCTATATTATTTATGATGAGAAACTATTGTATGGTAATGTAAAAAATAATAAGATATTTAAAAGAAAGTGCAGTTTACCTTGTTTAAAAATAAACTATTAGGAACTCCGAAGTAACTAAAATTATAATACAGTGTGCTGCAAGTATATATGCTATCTTTGAACAACCACACTTCTTTTTGCGCGTGTAAATTAAGCCTACTTTGTCTAAGTTATGGAGAACTGAAGGATTTGGAACAACTGCCCTGCGATTCTGCGAAAAGGTGGGAGCTTAAAGTTTATTGTTTATCAGAATGCCAAATCATAAAATGACTGCTTCAGGACTGATTTGAGAGCGACCGCCGATGCGAAAACCTCTGTGTGAGTTCGAAAAGTGAGTTACAGAATCGCAGGGCAGTATTCTCATTTAAATGTTACTCTTAAATAAATAGATTCAGTGTAAATAATTTGTTAGTTTATACATATTAGTTGTTATTAACATTTCACAAAGTCTTATGAATAATTATGCAATAGATGGATTTTAGTAATAGTAAAAATGTTATAATAAATGTTTTATTAAACGCACAAATTAATTTGTTCATTTATAATAATAGAAGTAGGAATACCTTTTCTTGAATTTTTGATACATTTTCTTTTATTAATTTGTCAATTTTCATTACGACGCTTAACAACTGTTGCGAGACTTCAATATATAATATGTACTTATAGTTTTGTTACGGGGTTTGTTATACTATTTTAAAATCGCAAATTTAATAATATTTTTCTATTGACTTATTTTACAGAATAATACAATCTAATGGTATATTACATTTTAAAACCACTGTGTTTGCATTAATGATACAGTCTTGTTAGAAGCGCGGCAAATGCCTAAAGTGTGTGTTGTTTGCCATAAAGTGCTATCAAGCAATAATAGTGTTACCCATCCCTAGATCAAAAGATTGAACATCGGCGGTATAGAAAGGAAAAATCGTGAGGTAACCAGGATAGGTAAGATCAAGGGTTGTACCACCACTGGTTTGATATTTTTGCAAGAAATGGTATATCAATGGCAATATATAAGAGATTACCAAATTGTACACACAGAAGTTCACAGAACTATCAGTGATCTAGAAATAGATAAAATAATTAATAGAATACAAATGTATAAATAACGCTAATACCATAATAACTAACATAATAGTTAAAATCCCCCATTGTTGAACAACTCAACCCGTGACTCGAAATTAATATATACTATATAATAAATAATAAACAGTGATCTATGTTCTAGTTTTCGTCTATTTGATGAAGCATGAATCTACAACCCAATAACAAAACGTAACTGTTAAATTCTATTCAGCAGGTTTAGTGTATGTTTTAACAACACAAACGGTCGCAACGCAACGGTAAACAAATAAACCCTAGGTGAGGGTATAATGTCGGATTAATACCTCCCTTTATTAAATATTTAGTGAAGCATTTACGTGGGTAACTTTGAAAATGTTTAGAACTGGCCAGTTAGAAACATTGCTAATGAAAACTTTTTTGAATTTCAATTTTAGAACTCTTTGGTAACCTTTATGTATATTGCATTCGATTGTCATTTTTGTGAATTGTTGGCAAATCTCAAACTCTTGTTTCACGTGAAAATGAACCTAACGCAAGAAAATTTTCGGTCAATGATTTATTATGACTCTCGTTGTGAGCTTACTCAACAACAAAGCTATGATTAGCATGTTTTAATGAAGCCTCATCTCATGCTACTATTTTATCATCACAGGTGATGAAAGCTGGATATATTTCCACGAAACCGAAACCAAAACACAATCAGCTCAGTGGGTGTTTCCTTTCGAGAATCGGCCAAGGTAAAGAAAGGAAGAAGTCAAGGAAAAAAGATGATTGCCTCATTCTTCGGAAAGGTCATTTCGCCACAGTTGTGCTAGAAGATGGAAGGGCAGTTACTGCAGACTGGTATGTCAATCGCTGTTTGCCTGTTGTCTTGGAAAAAATTCGACAGCAGCGCCCTCGAAGCAGTATCCTCCTCCACCACGACAATGCGCACTCCGAAAAACGGACTGTTGAATAATAATAATAAATAATAATCTAAATATATCGAATATTTGAATATGGCAGGTGTCGAGATAATGAGTCCGCCATACAATCCTGACCTGGCGCCCTGCGACTTTCATTTATTCCCAAGAACTAAAGATAAAAATCGTGGTGATGCGGTGAAAGTGTACGAAAATGCCATAGAAGAGACCCCTAAGGAAGAATGGTCCCACTGCTTTTCTCAGTGGTTCCATCGAATGTGACGATGTGTAGAGAGGAACGGAGATTACTTCGAAAAACAATAAAAGTATTGGCAACTTTCTACATTAAGCCGTTTTTCATTTTATAAACATTTTCAGTGTTACCTAGGTATTAGTAATCATAACTATCAAATATACAGTATTTACAATTTTCTCTCATAGTAATAATACAAATAATTAAAAAGTTAATAAAGGTAAAATTAAAACAAATTTAAAAAGTTTGGTTTGGCAGTGTATCTTTAACGCTGGCAGCATTTCCTCGCTGTATTGCGATAAATATTAGTATTAAAACAAATATTATTGTTATTATTATAACAAAGCCGTACATTAATAATTAGTCGAAATTCCTCATTGGTACCTGAGAAATTCCATTCACTCACGTACTCGCATGTACCGCTCAGATGTTTATGTATTTTATTTTCTCAAATAAATTGTATTTTCCGTTAACCTTAGGTTATTATTACATTTGGCTAAGGTCTTTTCCCGGTAAAACAATAATCGTTGAATGGTACAAAAATATGTATCAAAAAGGTCATATTTCGAATCATCACGCAGACACACGAAGGTGCGGCAGCTTCAATACGTCACAAACATTTTTCAAATAGGATTTTTTCCTAAACAAAGTTGCTTTCATAATATTAAAAAAATTAAATTATTCACTGATGTTATGATATGGAGACGTCTGTGTATTACTGGGTATTGGACACAATTTTGTCAGGACACATCGATTATTTTTGCACCATATACACGTTATATACGCCTGATACTGCAAAAAAATAACAAAAATAGGCAGAAATTATTTCTGCATAAAAACATTTTAATTTAAAATATTTGTTCCCGTGTAAACACTACGCATAATAAACTTCACGGAATTTGCTTTGTGGTTAGAACTAACCTAACATATAGTACAGCGATGGTCTGGTAATGCAACGTGCTATTTTCACAGAGTGCAGTCGTCAAAACTCACTGTTATTACTTAGTTTATTGCAAGGACAATTTCCACACGATCGTAATTGTCGCATTTACTTTGATAATTAATATGTTTGATCGCATTTAGTTAAACTAGGATATTGAATAACACCTTTGGTT